GGTGAAAAAAAAATTAAGACAGGATTTCAGTTTTCCCGACTGATCCAAACATCAATAAATCTTGAAACTTGCCTGGGCTTTGACTTTGTCAGTAGCCTTGTGTTTGTGTCCTTGGGGTAGAAGGACGCAACCTCTTCGAACGTCTTTTGGTCCAAGGCCTCGCAGCAGGACACCCAGCTGGTCTCCGGGCTCTGCTTGCTCGACCGTTTTGCGGAACGATTCGAGACCTAGGGTGCAATATGCCATAAAGATTAGACAAATGAACAGCGAAACACTTTAAAATATGTTTTTTGAGAGATTCAATTGAGGAGATCCTATTAGTATTAGAAAAGCTCACCAGATACAACAGATTTCAGGTTTTCTCGATCGCATCCGATAATTTCAATCTTATCTCCACGTTTTAGTGTTCCTCGTTCCAACTTTCCAGTAATAACAGTTCCACGCCCTACAAAATGACAACTTGACAATGACAGCATCACCAAAGGTAATGAAAGAACACATCTTCAAATGAAAACTCTCAGAAAAAAAAAGCCTTCAAAAGACTTTAAAAGCATTATCTCCGCTTGAAAAATTTATATATTCAAAAATGAAAATGACTGAAAATGGGAAGTCAACATTCTACAAGTTGTCTGTGCTTTATTTGTATATATGCAAGATCGTCTGCTTCCCGTTTTTTTATAATATCAGATATCGAAGTACGTAAACCACGCTGACTAACAAGAGGTCCATGAACTTTTCCAAAGCAGAAGTTTTCAATTTTGAGTGAACGATAATCTTACCTTGAATTGAATACACATGTTCAGCAGCAAACATAGCCTCGGTGTCAATTTTTCTCTCGGGGATTACGAAGTGATTGTCGAGAACGTCCAGAAGCTTCTTTATAGATTCTTCGCCAATTTCTGGTTGCTTTCCCTCAAGAGCGCATAAAGCAGAGCCGAAGATTACCTAAATATAGACGGATAGTGGAACTGCCACAACGTTAGCGCTTAAAACGAGCTTGGAACGTCTACCTACCGGCGCTTTGTCTCCTGGATAGTCAAATTCATTCAAAAGCTCGCGAATCTCCATTTCTACCAACTCACGAGTTTCCTGGTCGGGAACTTCATCTACCTAACCGCAAATCAAGATGTAGGAAAAATATCTGAGTAGGCTAGAAAAGTAAGAAATCAGTGGAATTCGAGAACATACCTTATTCAGATACACTGCTACATTCTCCTTTGGGATACCCACTTGATGAGCAAGAAGCAGATGTTCTCGAGTCTATAATCGGACACTTAGTGAGCAAAGTTCAGTCCATTAACTAAAAAATAGTAAAGAACCCAATTGTCGTTAAGAATTACTTGAGGCATGGCACCATCAGTAGCGGCAACAACGAGAATGGCTCCCTCCATCTGTGCTGCTCCAGTGATCATATTTTTGATATAATCGGCATGTCCGGGGCAGTCAATATGAGCATAATGTCGTTTAGCTGTTTCATACTCGAGATGGAATGCATTGATGGTAATACCTAAACTACATAACCTCAACTGCAAATATGGAATATGTTAAACTATAAAAGAGAATGGGCGTGAAAAAATGCATGAAATACAACGCATAATGAAGACAGTTACAATAACTGCTTTCAACAATCCTTACCTCTTGCTTTTTCTTCAGGGGCATTATCGATATCCTCGTATTTGCGGAATTTGGCTCCTTTTGTCGCAGCCAGGACTAAAATAAGCTTATTAGCTATCGAAAATGTCCGCCTTTTTGTAAGACTTGTTTCAAAGTAAAAGGCGATCGTCATGGAAAGGGCATGCACTGTTGGAAGGAAAGATTTTTTTCAATTAAGGAATGTTGAAGAAGATTCCTTAAAACAGTATCTGTCAATTTTCACATAAGTCACCCAACGACAAAGAGTCATATATAGAATAAATGTTAATTTCATTCTTCAAGACTTGCTAGAAAAAGCGGTTAGAACAATTATCGTCACATAAATATTACTTCATGAAGCGATACACAGTGTTGAGATTAAACTTTTGGTTGATTTTCACTCTAATGGCCTGTAAAACTGTACTTTAATTTTTCTTAATATACTGACTTGAAATATAGGGCAGGACGTTTGAGCCAAGTTTCCTCGGCAGCCAAATTTAGTATAAAACAAAACATGAGACATGGTATCAGTTACCTTTGGTGATAGCAGAGGTCAGCGTTGTTTTACCATGATCAACATGTCCTATAGTACCAACATTCAGATGTGGTTTGTCGCGCTGAAACAGTTAGATGGATGTGAAGAAAGAAAAACTATTAGTAATAAACATAATGCCTAAACAACAAACCTTGAAGACTGCCTTTCCTCCGGGTGCAGCTAAGCATCGAACTTGTTGTGATCTTGATATTCCTAACACAACTCTTTCACCCAAGGAGCTATTGAGGATTGTCTCTGAAACAATTCCTCTTCATATCTCATTAACTGCTTAAACTTGTTGAACTTACTGCTAGATGGAATAGTAACCCTTAACAATGACAAGATGTGCATTGTACCCGAGCTGAAAAACTTATTTTCATTAGATTTACATCGCAATGAATAATATCTATGTCTTTATGAACTGGTAAATAATTTAGAGGAAATTATAAATCATTGAGATGTATATTATTTGAAAGGTGAAAGATAAATCGGCTTGCAATTGGAAGATGGCAAAAATTACTACTTAAAAAATATTTTTATTGGATCGACTGAGCTTCAGGATAGTGTGACAACAGAGTTGGGTTCTTCTTAACGTTATTCCATAAATTTCTAGCCACTTTTTTGAATTATACAGAAACGAGAATTCTCTTTTCATAATGAAGTACTTGAATTCCATAATTGTGAAGATCAGAAAAGAAATAATGCGAACACTTTCACGAAATTGGTGTCAGCGCACCGCTAGCGCAATGTTGGTGCAGACCTCAGCAGGTTGGAATTGTGGTTAGTTAAGGAGGGGCGCATTCATTTTTACTGACGTTACTAAAATCTGAAGGAGATTC